GTGTGGGTGTGGGTGTGGGTGTGGGTGGGTGTGTGTGGGTGTGGGTGTGGGTGTGTGGGTGTGGGTGTGGGTGTGGGTGGGTGTGGGTGTGTGTGTGGTTGGATGAGGCGAAGGTTAACACCCACACCCACACCCAACCCTTACATTAATTATTTGAAGGATATTTAAAGAGATAGTGTACGAATGGAATTCAACTGACTGTAGTATAACGACACATATATCTTTTTTTCTTCTCAATGTCGTTTTTTTCAAAAATGAACGCAACATATATGGGTCATTTACACTAGACGAATTAAAATTGAATTAAGAAATATGATTGGTGTTGCTATGTGGAAATATCAATCATATTTCTTAATTCAACTTTAATTCATCTAGTGTGAATGGGGTCATAGATTGACTATGATCGAGTTGGATGGTACATCAATCTTTCACCTTTCTGAATAAGTTGACCGAGTCAATTTAACAATGGCGCAAAAGTGGCGAAATGCAAACAATGAACATATGTATGTATATATGCTTCGTCTTAGTCAAAAAGCATCACAATCATTAAAAAAAAATATGAACCGATCAAATGTTCATCTTTTGGATTTACCTGATGAAATATTACTTATTATTTTGAACAAATTGAACAATATTGATGTACTTTATTCTTTATTGGATATTAATAATGGACGACTTAGCGTTCTTGCACAAGAAAACACTTTCACTAATATTCTGAAGTTTGTCTCCATTGATGATACTTCTCTAATCGATCGGTTTTGCATCGATATATTACCAAGAATTCATCGTAAAGTCAAATGTTTTATCTTTGATCCAATTTTTATGGAACGTATTCTTCTTGTCATCGACTATCCCAATCTAACTGAACTTGAAATTCATCATTTCCATGAAGAAATTGCTTTAAATTACTTTACAAGTGAGCATTTAATATGAGACAAATAATAAATGAGTGTTACAACGAATAGACTACAGTTTGTTTCATTTCATTGTTTTTTCGTTTAGATAAATCATCACTTCGATCTATTTTCCAAGAACAAATTACAAATCTTATTCTTATCAATAATGATGAATGCGCAATGACATGTTCATCAAATTATACTGCAGAGATATATGCGCATATTTTGACCTTCTTCAAAAATTTAAAAATTCTACGTATTATAGAACCAAGTGTTGTGTCATATCCACCTCTATCACTTTGTTATTTGCCATCGACTACTTTTTCATCTCAAATTCTTACTCATTTATATATCAATGTGGAAACTTTTGATGATTGTCTTTGCTTACTTGATGGTCGACTTAAACAATTGACAACATTGTTTGTTACTGTCTATTGCGTATTCAGGTCTACACCCATTATTCACAATATGGTAAGTTTATACAAATAATTTGATGAGATAAGAATAGTTACTATTTTAACGCAGTTTGAATTTTTGTCAAAAGATTTAATAAGAGATCGGATAGTTAAATTTCATGTTGACAAG